CTAAGCGGAGAATTTCCATTCCGTTGCGTGCCATGCAAATTTGGGGCCGACCAATGCGTGTGACGATCCAATGGCAATTTCAGCGCTTGGTTGAGGCTCCACATGAGCTGGGGCGTCTTGACGTACACCTGAAGTTGTGCACGGAGTTGTGGGCAATAGCCGTTGAGTGATTTTCTTTGGTGATGATGCCGAAGCAGTTTCCTCCGAAATGTCAATCTCATTGAAATGCCCCAAGCTGGTATCACAGAGGCAGTCATGGTCCACACGCATATTGCTTTGGCGTGCCTGCCGCTTGGCCAAGTGAATGCCACAAATCACAATTGCATTGCGAAGGGTGCGGATGTGCATGTGGCTTTCCGGTCTCGTGACTTTACCTCCCCACACTCAGCTCTTGATTTCAAGGCAATCCGCACCATCCGCAAGACTACGTGACTTGGGCAAGCACTTATTTGCCTAAGGTCCGCCCGGTGTGCACGTGGTGCCTTGCTCGTATCCTTTAAAGGGAAAGCATAAGGCCAGCATCTTTGATCTGCCCTCGGACACATACCCATATACAGAGAGGACTGAGAAAGGAGATGTGGTTTTGCCGCTCCTTCCAGCTCGAATGCCTTGCTAGCCTGCCCTTTGCAAACCGGACGGCCAGCGCTTTCATTGGGGTCTCCTTTTGCTAGCGTCTAGCTGCTTGGATCTGGCAGCCCTTATTGAACTGCGGGAAAGTTGTGGGAAGGCTGCCGCCACAAGAGCGTGCAGCAGCTTGTCATGACTTCGCCAGGGTCCTGTGCAGCATGCCGGTTAGCATGACTTGTGGGATGAGTGTCACGCTGGACGATGCATGTTCCTGACCAAGCGCACGTTTTGCTCTGTTCATTGACACCGTCGATCATTGCCCCGCGAGATCTGCTTTCTGAATCAGTGTCCCTTCCACCGACTATCATGGAGCCCACCTAGCAGCCAGATTCCGCCGCCATTACTTGGGTACTAGCTTTCTTGCTTAAGGGGCTTCGCCGCTGGCCTGGGGGCCTCCTGGTCTCAAACAAACTTGCTTTGCATTTTTGCGGAAAACCAAAGGACCCCCCCCCTTTGCCCAATCAGGGCCTCTAAACAACTTAAGACAACCAACTTTTTTCGCTTTGCTCCATCCCCGACTCCTGGAACGGCTGAGGCGAGGAACCGAGCGGCTGGCCTACTGCTGCAAAATGAGGCGCGGTATTCCACGTACTTCGGGAACCGCTTCGAGCGCCTCGGCCTTGAGCGCTGGCCGTGGGAAGGCTTCGAATGACAGCGGCCTGGGCTTGACTTCTGATTCTCAGTTGCCCCAAGCGAATCGACCTTTTTGACCTTTTGGTTCTCCCATGTTGGTCTATTTTTGTAAAGGTCGCAACAGGTGAACCTTTTATTTCCGGGCCCTTTGGGCAACTGAGGATTGAAAAGCAGAATGCCTTCCGCTAACCTGCAGACAATGAATCTGCCCCGCCTAATAATAGAGGTCCCCGGCTCTAGCAAAACATAAACAGTTTTTGCAAAACCCAGGCGGGTCAGTACTAAATTGAATAGTATACGCCGGTTGACTGAAACTGATCGAGATGCACTACACGCCTTTGGCCAAATAGCCGCCCCAACTTCCACAGATCGAAATAAGTGAGATTTCTTGAACAAGTGGCACGGCAACATGGCAGGTGTTTCTTGAAAAAGAGAGAGAGAAAGAGCGAGAGAGAGAGAGAAGGCCACACGTCGCCAATGACTGTATGATTCATACGTCAGCTGGGCGGTTGCCCATCAGCCTTCGGGCTTACAACACATTTTATCACTCGTGCCCAGACGAGACCAATAGGATAGCCAGGCTGCGCTCTGCACACAGTAGCGCGAGAGAGCGAGAGAGAGAAATAGAGCCAGCTCCATTTGAAAGCAAAAAGAAGAGAACAGGAACGATTTCTCCCACCGATCTCTCTTCCAGTCTTGTAGGGAAGTTCTTGCCTTCAGTCTGGAAGCACTACCCTTTGGAAATGAAGAACCAGGTTTGAGTTGTTTTTAGTTCTTTATGTAAAACAAGTCATCTTGGACCACTTTCAGGCTGCTCAGTACCTCCAGCAAAAAGTGAACAAAATCACAAGACCGGACCCCCGAAACCTGGAACTGGGCGTTGTTCTTCATTTGGGAGGGAAGCGATTTTTTTTGGTTGTTGTGGTTTTTCTTTGTTTTTTTTGTTTGGGGGGAAGGGGTAGTAGCCAGACAGTTTGGGGAGCTTTGGCTAGGGAATGACTTCTAGGATCCCCCCCCCCCCCCCCATCGCTCTTGGCCCCCGCTTGCGCAGCCTAGGGCCATGTTTTTTGTTGAGGGTGCTCCTTTTAATTACTTTTGCGTATAGTATTATAGGGACGCCAAGAGGAACAGCCGCCATTTTCTGGGTCCCGCCCCACTTTTGACACGTACCCATAGCTTTGCACCTCGCGGGGCCCAGCCGGATGCGCAAGTCCCGCCCTGAACCTGAGCGCCAGAGACTCACGCACCCGCACCGGGGCCCAGCCAAGTATCCGTAGTGGCCCCGGGTGTATTTGTAAATATGGACAGTGGACATATTAGCTCTTTCCTTCCCCAGAAGTAGCTCCCCTTTTTTTTGGGGGGGGGTCCCTTTGTTTTCCACTCACCAGGCAAAAAAGATATATATAAATATATTTTGCTGGGGTCAAATTTTCAGCCTAGTTTCCAGCCCCGTGGTTGACCTTTCGTTGTGTTCGGTTCAGTGCCTCAAGGCCTTGCAGCAACGCGACCACTACCCCCCCCTCCGGCTGGCTATCTAAATGTTTGGGTTATTTTTTTGACAGGGCCTTATGCTTCAAGGTACATCCACGGTATCCAAATGCTTCCCTTGACTCCGGCTTTGATGCTGGCGCGAACTCCCGAGTTCAACAAGCTCGAATGGAGACGCGGCCTGCAACCCTTAGCGGCGTTCGGCGGCTTTGCGCTCTGTTTGCTCATGGCTCAGCTTAGCTTTTTTCTTGTTGTGCCGTTTTGCTCCTTTTTTTCCCCCTGTTCCGTTTCAAAGAGCAACATGTTAACGCGGTCACAAGGACGATGGCCCAGTGCCAAGGACGATGGCCCGCGCTTCTAGTTGTACTAACCGGTTCCATGGATTTCTGAAAGGAACCGATTCGGCATGGCCAACCCGTGCTCACGATTTTCTATGAGCACATGCCGCACCTGTCCCTTCCCAACACGTAGGTTGCGTGCGACCTGCCCAGCTCAGGAGTGAAATCCTGTGCAACTTGCCGCTCTCTACTGCAGATCGCTGGACTTCCATACTGCTGACTGGCAACCTTGCCATGTTCGACCCGGAGACTGCCTTTGACGCTTGGCCAATTTTCGCCCAGGCGAGGAGCGAAAGCTAAGTTTGGCACTCGGAGTTTTAGCGCTCCTTACGCATACATACATCTCCATACAACGCGCTGGCACGTCGTTAAGTGGCTCAGCGAAGAGTTTCAGCTAAGCGCAGCCTTTGGATCTTTGTCAGCTACTTGAATATTAAGTTCTTTCAGCCCTTCCCTACACCATGTCTTGCAGTTGTCTTTGAACATTATGCCCTTGGACTCTGGACGTGTCATTTTGGTTTTGTCCACACAGTAAAAGTTGCCGCACTTTCAGGAACGCTTGCAGAAGATGAGCCCGCAAAAGATGGACGATGGGCTGACGAAGGCATGGGCTCTCTACTGGGCCAATGACGCTTAGACTGAATGGGCGGAGCTTGGTCCGGTCAGATGTCAGCACGAAAGGCGGCTTGCATTTGCACGTGTTATCTTCCCCAGAATTAGCTCCCCCTTTTCCTTTTTTGCTTTTTTGGGGTCCCCTTTGTTTTCCACTAACCAGGCAAAAAGTATATTTTTTGCTGGGGTCCTAATTCCAGCCAAGTTATCTTCTCTTCTTTGAGTTTGGGCGAAATGTGTTTTCCCAGTTAGTTTCAAGGCTTCGTGGGTGCAATGACCATAGCCATGCTCGATTCTGTCCCAATCGCAGGACTTAGTTTTGGGCCATAGAGCTGTGCCCAGGCGCTGAGTCTAAGAAGCTTGTTGCTAGAAACAGCTAGTGATTTTATTTGGGGGAACCCCTGATCAAAAAAGGCTACAAAGAAGCATAGTTGTTCAACGAGGAGTCCTTTCTACCAGATGAATCCCTTTGTTGATCTTTACGGGCGTATCTGGGGCCAACGCAAAGTTGCCATGATTTTTGTGGCCGGCTGGTTTTGTTGCATCGTTTGTGCTTCGAACAATGGACACCACTGCAATGGGGCCCCTGCGGCGACCAATGAACACGAGCTTTTTTCAGGCCTTTCCGGGTCACGTTCACTCCCCTGAACATTTGCGCAAGCATGAAGACTTCTAAGCCGATGTTGGTGTTGCTGTCCAACATCATGGCCTTGAGGTGCTTCCATGTGTTTACTGCGTCCGCCTTGCTCATCACAGTTGCGTCGTGATGCGTCGTCGGCACGGGTGTATGCCCGACGTGCAGCGGGTTTGGGTGGTGTGTGTGTGTGTAAATGTGTGTGTGTGTTGTGTGTGTGTGTGTGTTGGTGTGTTGGTGTGTTGGTGTGTTGGTGTGTTGGTGTGTTTGTGTGTTTGTGTGTTTGTGTGTTTGTGTTTGTGTCTTGGTGTGTTGGTGTGTGGGTGTGTTTGTGTGTTTGCGTGTTTGTGTGTTTGTGTTTGTGTGTTTGTGTGTTTGCGTGTGTTGTGTGTGTTGTGTGTTGTGTGTGTGTTGTGTGTTGTGTGTTTGTGTGTTTGTGTTTTTGTGTGTGTGTGTGTTTGCATGTTTGTGTGTTTGTGTTTCTGTGCGTGTCTGTGCGTCTGTGTCCGTCTGTGTGTGTGTGTGTGTGCGTGTGCGTGTGCGTGTGTGTGTGCGTGTGCGTGTGCGTGTGCGTGTGTGTGTGCGTGTGTGTGTGTGTGTGTTGTGTGTGTGTGTGTGCGTGTGCGTGTGCGTGTGCGTGTGGGTGTGTGTGTGTGTGTGTGTGTGTGTGTGTGTGTGTGTGTGTGTGTGTGTGTGTGTGTGTGTGTGTGTGTGTGTGTGTGTGTGTGTGTGTGTGTGTGTGTGTGTGTGTGTGTGTGTGTGTGTGTGTGTGTGTGTGTGTGTGTGTGTGTGTGTGTGTGTGTGTGTGTGTGTGTGTGTGTGTGTGTGTGTGTGTGTCTGTGTGTCTGTGTGTCTGTGTGTCTGTGTGTCTGTGTGTCTGTGTGTCTGTGTGTCTGTGTGTCTGTGTGTCTGTGTGTCTGTGTGTCTGTGTGTCTGTGTGTCTGTGTGTCTGTGTGTCTGTGTGTCTGTGTGTCTGTGTGTCTGTGTGTCTGTGTGTCTGTGTGTCTGTGTGTCTGTGTGTCTGTGTGTCTGTGTCTGTGTGTCTGTGTGTCTGTGTCTGTGTGTCTGTGTGTCTGTGTGTCTGTGTGTCTGTGTGTCTGTGTGTCTGTGTGTCTGTGTGTCTGTGTGTCTGTGTGTCTGTGTGTCTGTGTGTCTGTGTGTCTGTGTGTCTGTGTGTCTGTGTGTCTGTGTGTCTGTGTGTCTGTGTCTGTGTCTGTGCCTGTGGGTGTGTGTGTGTGTGTGTGTGTGTGTGTGTTTGTGTGTGTGTGTGTGTCTGTGAGCGCTCTGTTGTCATGAAACAAAGGCGGCAAAGAGTCTGTGCATTTTGCACTGCTTTTTTCGACGTTTCTGGTGTGCTCGGGCTGGACAAATTGTCCACCCGCTGCGGTTACATTTTGCCCGAAGGCATGCTCTTCCGTTTGCTGATTGCCGGTTTGACCTTCCTAGTTCGCACGTATTCGCCGGGGGGGGGGGGGCGGGGGGGTACGAAGAGGACTTGTCTACAGGCTGAAACGGCAGCGTTGGCATCTCTTAAGCCCAGCTCAGACATAATGGGAAGCCGGGGTGAAAACTCGCAGAATCGAACAACTGGCAGAAACAGAACAGCAGGACGGGCGAAGAGTTTCAGGGTTTCGTGGTATTCGGGGGAAGGCACGACCCAAGTTCAGATGTGTCGCTTGCATCGGCATCGGCAAGCTGATGCTCAGGCGCAGGCCAATGGCGGCAAGGGCAACTGGAGCTGTGGCAAGCCTCCCTTCCACGGCCCCCGTGTTTGCCCCACAGGCGCCATTCCGATGAGCCGATCGGGGATGGGCGGAATGAACCTGGAGGTTTGGCAACCGGCGGGCGGAGGCTTGGAGGTTTGTCAGCCAGGAAGTTGGGCGTTAGGTGTTTTTCGGTGGTTGGATCCGAGTCAACCGGCGTGGCTTCGGAAGGTTGGCTTTCGCTGCGGCATGGTTCGGGATGTGCAGCTCAGGCCAATACCGGTCTGGAGTGCAGTGCGTGGCTTGCCCGGCGGGCACCTACAATAACCTCACGAACCAAACCAGCCACGAAGCCGCTTGGATGCCTTGACTGCCTAAACTGCATAGGCTCGGTCAAACGATCACTCGATGGTCAATTCGGGAGGGTATTTGGAGGACTCGCTCAACTTCTCGCCAAAAACTGGAGTCACTAGTTGTCTATGTCCTTCAGGGCAAGCATATATGTTCACCGTGGCTCAGGTGTATGTGCTTAGCCGCAATACTTCGTGACAATTAATCCTTTCCTAAGGAGACTGTAAGGGACAAACATTGGTTGAGTTTCCACCCCGACACTTGCGGATTTGATATATAACATATAACCCATGGCATGGAAAGCGGAAGGCTTACTGCCTGCCAGCCAAACATGTGCTGCATTGCGTGTTTCCATAAGGTGGCTATGATATTATGTCAAAGACCGGTCCCTTTTTGGACCCCGTTGCCAAGGGGTGTCGCAATTCAAGGGGCTTGGCAAGATTTGTCAGGATTTTGTAAACTCTTTTGTCATGACATGAGGCAGCTTGCGCCTTGCTTGCCAAGCCACCGGAGGGACGGAGCGCAATGCGCATTTGCTTGGACCCAAAACTAACGATTCAGCTTTTGGGGAATACTAAGATAAAGGCAGCGAACTGGTTGAACTTCTGCCTTTGGGGCAGTCTGGCCCAGGCCTTGCAACGCACCCTTCACTGTTTAGTGGAACCATGGCCTGTCAGCAAGGCTCCACGGCCTGCCTCGGTGTTGACACATCGGCTCGCGGAGTTTTGCAGCATTTTGCTGGAGCATTTTGCAGCATTTTCTCTTCCTGCAGCATTTTGCTGGCAGGTTTTTCGTTGTTTCCACTCATGGCACGAAAAGTGCAAGCTGTTCCTGGCTAGTTCCTACTGAACAGGGGCAGATCGACCCATGCGTTCGCGACACCGGCGACACAGCCACCTCTTTGAGGCTCAAGCTTAGCATGCTGGTGGAGTTTTAGCGCGCTTGGACAATGGCCAAATTACAACAAGCTCACCTATAAGGCACTTGCCTGGGGGTTCCGTATTTAAGGTTTGTGACCTATACCAAGTTGCCCAGCTGAACGATGCGGTTGTTCCGTTCAAGCTTGTTGTTCAGGGCAGTTGACCAACAATTCAGCCAGGTGTGCAAAATGCTACTTGGGAAGGTCCCTGCATGCCCCTCCTAATGAAGGAAGGTCCTTCTATGGCTGGGGAGAGGGGGAAGCCACACTTTAACACACCGAATTCGGTGTGCCTCAAGCTAAGGCATCCAACTTTGGTAAAACCCCCTCAATTCAAACCTGGCTTCTCTTAACTTGTTGCACTAGATTTGGCGCCGGGATCGATCCGATCCGGGCGCTCGCCACGTCGGCTCGATGTCTGGTGACAGCCCCCCAGATTGGAAATAGCTGCCGCTGGGGGGGGGGGGATCCGATGAGTTGCCGGAGTGATGGGTTTCCTCAAGTTTGGCAGTGGCGTATGTTGCATAAGGGTCGCGCTTCGTCGCTGACTCCGCCGAGGCGCGTTGTTCCTGCATCATGACGAGAAGACGGTCAGTCATCCAGTATGAGTGAGCATGGTACAATAGACGGGGTTGCATAGTCCGAGGTCTTTATAGGTTTTCGGGCAAGGACGAATCAGGCTACCCGACGTTTAGGGCCAGGATGATCCCGTATCTAGGATCGTAATGTTGTCAGCTGCTCATGTGGATATGTGTCCAGCCTGAAATCATTGCTTGATCCAATCTAAGGCAGTCGCCGTCTGACATGAGCCCACCACACAGTCCTCCCCCAGTGAGGTACCATGGCAGACAAGAAAGCCACCACCTTCTCCCTGGAAGCCATTTTTGGGCCAACCCAACAGGCCCCAGTCAGTTGTCTTCATGGCAACGACGGAAAGCTGAGAAAGGGAACCATCACCATACTATCCTTTTGCAGCCATGCTTCACCTGTGCCAACACCAACCTGACCTGGCGTGTGCTTAATTCAAAGAAGGAGTGCTATTTTCCACAAACCAAAGGACCAGCTTTTGAAGCATTCCAAACACAATGTGCACCAAACGACTTGCACGGTAATCTGGCTGGTTCTCAGCAGGGAACGAAATAAATGGTATATATATATATATAAATTCAATGCCCGATTTGGTTTCCAGGGATACCCCAAAACCAGGTGCATTCCCCAAATGGAATCTAGAAATCCAACCCCCGATTGGGTGTCCTAGGGAAACCCCCCCCCCCAAAACCGGTCCATTCCCAAAACCCAGACTCGTTGTCATTCCCTACCTAACTAGGTCCCCCAGTAGTGCCCTTTCTCACCCTTTTGGTTGGGAGGGTTCCCCTACTAAAACAGACAGAAAAAAGGAAAAAGTGGGTACCCTTCTCCTAACCTCACTGGAGGACCTAGTATAAATCCAACCCCCGATTTGGTTTCCTAGGGACACCCCCAAAACCGGTTCATTGTCCCAAAACCCGGGCTCGTTGTCCTTCCCTGAAGCCGGATCGCCCATGAATTGCGTGCCCAAGGCGTGGATGCCGCCATGCAGGCGCTGGAGGAGCTGCGCTCGCAGATGGCGGCTCGGCCTCGGCTTCGGCTTCGTTTCGCCTCAACGGCTGGTGGGTAGAAAAAAAGGCACCCTCCCAATCGGGGAATCTGACAGGAGGGCTTCGGAAGCGACTTGTTGTTGGAAGGGAACAATCAAATTGGAGGGAGGGAGGGAGGGAGGGCACCCAAATGCGGCGCCCTAGTAAATGGAAACATGCACTAAGCCTGCGGTCTTGGCTTTCCTGTGATTTTGGTTGGTCCATGACCTTCCCTCACCAGCAGAAGGTTCTCATTTTTCGGGGGGCGGATCCGTGGCCAAGGATGACGCTGTCGAGTTTGTCGGTTTCGAGATCCCGTGCAATTTTTAGCTGGAGCCTGCATGGGTCCTTGCTCTATACAAGGTTCCTTCAAAAAACGGTTCCTGCTGCAATCTTCAGAGGGGTGCCCTGCAAGGGGGGAAAACGCAAATCCACCCCGCGAAAATGTTGGAAACGCCCGAGGTTGTGCGCTTGAATGAGCCTAGGCTAGGCATGGGTGCGAACTGGTCCTTTCAACTTGGAATTCCGCAAGGAACCACGAGAAGATCGACATAGGCATTCCTTTTTTGAGAACTTTACAAGGAAACCAACCACTTGCAAAGCAGTCCCTAATGTTGAGGTGCACCCAGTTCTGTTTCCGGATGCCCTATTTGCAACCCCAAACTTTGCCCCTCCGATAAGCAAATCAAACAGCAGACCACGTTTGAGACAAGCCAGTGGTCCAGCAGTGCAACTTTTTCAGATTTGTTCCAGAGAACCTGCTTCCGCCTTGATTCGGAGTATGGCCAGCTGGACTCTCCAGTCCGTCCCCAGTTCACAGGCGCCATGTTTTCGCGGAAGGCCGTGTTGAAGCCTCAGGACCTGCTGGTGGACACAGTGAAGGAAAAGATGCAGCGCCTGCACTCCGCCCTGGATGCGGCGCAGGTGGATGCCTTTGCGTGTCTGCGAATTCGGGATTCGGGTATGTGGCAAAATAGAAGGGGCCCAAACCAATGCTGGCTTTCATTTTGGTTTTCCTTGCAGCCAACCTGACAGTGAAAGGGGTACCCTCTAAAAAACACATGTGTTTGTTTTGCGCCTATGTTTGCTTCTCAGTATTTGTATCAATTTGTGTGTGTGTGTGCGCGTTGATGTGCGTGGCCGTGTGAGTCTGCATCTGCGCATGCAAGCCTTGTGCGCGTGTGGGCGGGTGGATGTGGGGGTGGTGGGGGGCGGGGCACGAGCATGCAGAATCATGCATGTATGCGCCCTGCTTCGACTTGAAGGGTAACTAGGTCCCCAAGTAGTGCCCTTTTTGCATTTTTTGGGCGATTCCCCTATATACTAAAATCGACTACAGAGAAAAAGGGCACCCTTATTCGAACCTCTCTACTGGAGGACCATGGAGGACCTAGGTAGGCCAATGAGCGCCTGCGCAGGCACCAGGTCAACCCAAGGCCCGGGTTGTGTCGGCCGAAGAGCGCCTTGGCACCCGAAACGGCAGTGGAAGCCATGGCGGCTATCAGAGCGTCTCCTTTGGGTTACCTTAGAGCTGTTGGTTGTCCACCTTGTGTGTTTGGTGGGCAGGCTGTGGGAGTGTGCTTCTTCATTTTTTGGCATCTTGGCGTCTTGGCAAGGCGCATGCTTGTGTGTCATTTGGCCAATTCCCTAGGCAGTCCCGTTCTGTTAAGTGCTTGGCCTGTTCTGGAAGCCTGGAAGCGAGCGACATCTTTCAGCTCTTGGACGAAACGCCGCGGAGGGGCTTAGTTTTTGTGGGCGCCCAAGAAAGATGACGTAATGATTACATTTCCAAACCTCGCCCCCCCCCCCCCCCATGTTCGCTGATAAAAGGGATGGGGGATTTCGGATTCTTATCGATCAGTGGCACGTGTGGTCTTGATGCACGATGGGGCGGAGGTGGGTGAGACCACCCCCCGCCCCTCTCCCATATAGTGGGTCAGACAACCCAGCCGAGGCAATGACAGCTGAGGCCTGTCTAGCAGAATCACAGGTTGATTAGCGCTCTTGCGGGGTGGCCTTTGCTGGTAGTGCTTTAACTACCCCCACCCCCCTCAAGGGCGGGGGAGTCTAAAAACGCAAGGGACCTGCCAGATCTTGTCTTACAGTTGCCCGACAAAAATGTATGTGTATATTTGGTGATTGGAGGGAGTTTGCCGGGTTTGGAGGGTCAAAACCATCGCGACTTTCATTGGCTCAACCACCGACCCAGACCTGCAGCGCTGGTAGACTACAGCAACGCGCAGTCAGAGGAGCAAGCTGTGATGATCGAGCAGACCATGGAGAGGCACATGCCACTGGCAAGGCATGCCAAATGGCATCAAACTTCCCCAGAATTAGCTCCCCTTTCTAATTTGTTTTGCGCTTTTTTGGGGTGCCTTTGTTTTCCACAAACCAGGCAAAAAAGATAATATTTTTTGCTAGGGTCCTAATTCCAGCCTAGATGCATGGTACCGCTTGCTACTTTGGCCATGATTTGGGGAATTGTCAAAGTCGAGAACCCATTTCTGTCAAATTCGGCATTGCCACGCCAGATTAAGCAGCGGAACAAAAAACGTTTCAGCCACGTCACATGTCACCCAAAACCTGGCACACAGCTCTAAGTCGGCGACGAGCAAACAAACTTGTTCTTCTGTGTGGCTTCTCGCGTGCCGCTTTTGGGTGGTGTAAATGGAAACAAAGAAACTCATTTCACATGCTACATCCTTTACTTTTTTTGAGCCACGGACAAGACCGCAGATTCTACGCTTTGCTGTCTGAGGTATGTGGGGTAACACCTCGCTTGCCAGCAAATGCATGTGCACTGCGCAGCGACAATGAATTGATGGCAAAGTTACTGTTTGCGTATTTCTGCCTTCTTCCTTGGCACCACATCCGACACTTCCTCTAAGTGCTTCGGCTCCACCCCAAATCGGTCAAATCGGCGAATGTTTGGAAAGTCAAGCAACGTCTTACCGACAGTCGAGGGCTTCAAACAAAGAAACCCGGCCGTGGGCCTTACAAAATGATCTCTGACCTGATCTAGCATGAGCTAGCCCATAGCTTTGTCCTTGGCGTCCGAGGCCTCCGAGTCGCCAGTTGCAAATATGTTGCTCAACCAAACGGATGCTTGTGAAGGCAGCCAGCTGTGTTCGAGATCTCATCGCATTCAGGGGCGTGACCCTTTCTGGCACTGCCAGGCGTTTCGTGGGCAATTTGGCGGTGAAGAGAGGAGAAGAGATTCGGCTTCACGGAAGGCCTGCGACCAATGTTCTTCCGGGGCATCAAGGGACAGTGGGGATGGTTTGTGGTGTGTTGTGTGCATCTCAGCCAGCGGTCAAAACATCAGCAAGAACAAAAGAACTGCAACAATGATGGCAAGTGAAGCGTCAACAGCAGTCCTCAGCACAACGCACAGACACGCACCACCACGTGCTCAAGTGTCCCTTGCGCAGGTGGATGGAACTGTCAGCGCGGGCAGGGGATGATGATGCGGTGCTGAAGTCATTGCATCTCCGGCCGATTAAAAAGTTGGGGGTAGCCAGGCCGAAGGTTCATCGCTCTTTAGCGGAGTCTTTCAGTCACACCATCCAATTCCCAGGCCCTTAAGGCATTCCGGCAAATCAAACCAAGCAGGTCGAGCGCTCACGCTCCATCTTGTGCCAGCCAAGCCAAAAGATCGATGACTTGCGCCAGTGGCACCAATTCATGCCCCAAAGCAGAAGCCAAGTGCACAAGTCATGTGAAGAGTCAGGACGTGTTTTTGTTGCATTTGATGGCACCTTTCAAAGAGGCCAAACAGAGGTCCAAAGCTTTGACAGCTCTCCGCGAGTGGCTTTTGAGACTTCCTCGCATGTTCTTTGAACACAAGGCTTCCCTCGAGTGGCGTGTGCAAGAGAGATATGGGACCGTGTGCAAGTAAGGGGGCCATCCTTGTTGAAAGATCAACGGATGCGGCCGCTTGTTGATTGATCCACAGAAAATCGTCGGCCGGTTGAAACGGCCAAATTGAGTTTGAGTTGTTTTTCACGTGAGGTCCGTTTCAACTCTGGAGGCACCTTCTTTTCCGCCAGAAAGGTTCTGAGAAAATAATAGAAACCCTTCCCACGAAGGCTACCAGAGCCTTTTCATGATGGGTGGGGGGCCTTTGGTTTCCTACTGGTTTGAATTGTTCAGCATTCACGCCTTAAAATTCGGGGTCCTCATTGTTCCTATTTCAATCTATGATAGTTGCTGCAGATGTGACATCCCTAGAGTTCTTGAACAATCTGTCTTAGTGCACAGGCAGCAGAAAGCTTAAAGCCAGGTTTGTGAGAATACGGGGTTGGTCCCTACATTTGATACTCCCCGTTATGGATCAGTTGTTTGGAGTCGGCTTTCGGTTGGAATCACGTTCTGTGGAAATTCGGCACCACAGCCCCACCAAGCAGAACCTGTTGAGTCCCTGCGCGCCAGGGTTTTCAGACAAACAGGGCACCGAGTCTCTGACAAGACGCAGCATCTTGGCTTTGCAGGTGACGAGAGCGGGGGCGGTCAAGGGAAGTTGCACTGGGCACATGAGCGCCCAATTTTCTTGAAGCTCCACGGGACAAGGGGGCCGGAACCTTTTCATTGTCCATCCATAGTGAGTCTTACATAGTGACAATGTGAGAGGACAGCTTCCACCTCCCCGCCAGCAAAATGTTGCCTCGAAACTGCCTAACCTCCAGTTCGGGAGGTGGAATGAAAGAGAGGGTGATGAACCATGTGGTGGAATCACATAGTGGCAGAAATTATGCTGTACCTGCACAACTTTGTTATTGTCCGAGCCCTTGATAAAACTATCTACCAGGATCCCGTTAATCACATGTTTCACCTGCATGTTTGCCGTTGGAACTGCTGAAGCCGAACAATATGCGCACATATGATCACATCTCTTCGTGTTGCACATGGATCTCTATCACGGGGCATCCTTCCCCAGCTCTCTCACTGCCTCTTAACCAGGTCATTTCTAACAGGATGCTCCTACAGGAAAACAGGCTGATGATGCCCAAACCCAAGCCTCTTATAAACCCACAACTTTTAAACAAGTAGATATTCACCTACAACATTATTTATGTTAAGTTTGCTATTTTTCCTGGGGGCCATTCTGCTCCAGGAGATTGTCCAACAATGAGTGACTTCTCCAGTAGAAGCACAACCATGCCTGGGCAGCATCTTCCTTTGGATTAATCCGCCACCAATACGTGTTGCCAGTTTCCTCTATTTGTCCAATCCTCCATTATCATGACTTATTACTCTTCGGAGTCTATGCCATGACACAAGTCGTCCACACTGCACACAACAAAGCCGATTCGTAGCTTCTTACACCATCTCAACCTTATGAAATCTTCTTTGTTTGCCACTCATATGCCAATGACATCTGTCGAGTAGTGGACAGCTTAACAGCTTAACCCGTTTGGCCTTATCAGTCTGGCGATGCGCGCGACGCGGGACATGTGCGCACCCCGACTTGTCAGCTTGCTTCAGCTCCTCTGTCCTCTGTCAGCTGGGAACCCTCCTCCAACATGTCTTTTTCGTTTGACCCATGGCAGAGAACGTGGGAACCATTTTGCCCTTTTTGGATTTCCGTCAATTGTCCTTGTAAACAGAAACCACTTACTTGCTGGCTCGGATCAATCTGGCCAAGAAGGATGTGCCGAAAACCCGCGAAGGAGGATCCAGAAGAATTCGGCCCTACATCCTGGAGGATCTGTGCGAGTGTTCTGGGACGTGCCCTCCGCCTGAACTCAGAGGGCTTCTGGTGAAAGCAGGACATGAGGGACGGAAGCCAAGCCGGGTGTCGGTTTCCCTTAGCGCCCGCGCATTGCTCGGGACAGTTTGCAGGCCAGCCAGGCCAGGCCGTGGGCTCTCTCGCTCGCTTGCGACAGGGAGGAACTACTGGGGGGGGTGAGATGTTAGTTTCTTTGAGGAAGTGGGGAGATTGACGGTTTCGGCCTGAAGGTCTAGATTTTTTCGTACCTGGCCAACCGCCACGACCCAGTCCGTTTCAATATTCTAGCCCAGGATTGGCATCATTTTGCTCTGTGGCGATGGCATGCTGATGCCTGTGTCGCTCGCCTGGGATTTGCACATGGACGAGGCCAACACTTTCAGCCTGCCGGAGCCTCAGGGATGGGCTCATTGCCCCCGTGGGTTTTTCCGATCCGGCCCGTTTTTGCCCCCCGTTCTTGGGGCCCAGAAATCGCCAAAGAAGGCAGGACTTTGCCCTGAAAATGGCTCAGTTGGCCATTGTGCTCACTCGGGAAAGCGTCGGGAGGTTTTTCTGCGAATTGAAGTTTGGACGTCTAAGGGGTGGTCCTTAGCCATTGGGCTTGTCGCAGGTGCGAGTCAGATGTGGGCCTCTCTCAAACCCTACGCCAATGTCGGGCAATATGGTTGTGTTTTTTTTGGAATCCATTTGCGGTCGGTTTTGAAGGGAACCAAGTTAGGACACCAACCATATTGGTGTCCCCTAAAAGAGACACCCATTTTGGGGTCCAAGAGCTCCCAGTGATTCACATGCTGAACTTGGATCCGGCATGGTGCACCTCCCGGGAAAGCTTGCTCTGGGACCAGGTGCCAGCACAACAGGCCCATACGGTACAGATCCCCCAGTTGGCACCCAGTTTCTGGCTTGCGCCGTGTGCATGCCAAGAACGGCCGTTCACAAGCACGTGTCATGGGGCAGCTACAGCCCGGAGCTTCAGAAGATGCATCTAGAGAAAGCAAAGCATTCAAACAATCTCCAGGAATTTTTCCAGGAAATTAGCCAAATACCCGCAAAAAAAAGAACTTCCTTGATACCTTTTTGGAGATGGTTTTCATAGAATCACGGAATCTACCGATTTGTTGCAAAAGGTTTCATTTTACTGGACTAGTCTTTGGAGTTCTTGTTTTCGGCCGGTGACGACGGCCAAATTCAAGCCGCAGTCCATGACAGCTGAGTAAAAGGTATGGTGGGCCCCACTGCCTTCTCCGAAATAGAACCGGCGGCAAAGATGCAGTGACGAAGCTGGGGGAACAGCCGAATTATGAATTATTCGTGCAGCCTGCAAAACCATGGGTTCCTCAATGGGAAGCCAACAGGATTTGACAGCCATCTTGCTTTTGCAGGCCTTCTATTCAATGGTGGATAGTGAAGTTTGGAGGTCAGAGTTGGACCTCTCAACTAGTCTTTCCGTAAGTAGTGCTTAGTACTGGTTTAGAATTGCTCGAATATTTCTTTGAGCTGGCCCAGTACTGTTTAGACATGGTTTAGTATTGTATTTCTTGGTACTGGCCCAGCGACGCTTCTTTCCACTGTCCGCCCCTTGAGCTTTTACTATTCTTGCTAGTGTGATTAATATTACCCCTCCAACCACTTCCGGTTTTTTAAGTATTAAAGAAGTTCATGTTGGTTTAATATTGAGTAGTAAGATTAGTTTCGTATTGCCAGAGCCCGGATCATGTTGTTTTCTCGCCCCCAGGCGGGCAGCCATATTTTGTTCCCAACCAAAAACAAACAAATCCTCCCCCTGTCCTTTGCATGGCTTCGCTTGCCGCGCCGCAGCGGCCCAATGGGCGGGAGTTGTTGGGCGAGCTGAGGCTACTGACGTTGTTCTTCTGGATCGGCTTGATCTATTGGAGTCTGGACATCCTGGTGAACTTCAACACGGCCATCTATGTTCAAGGCGCGCCAGTCATGTCATGACCGCCATTTGACCATTTGAGGGGTGCTTGGAGCGTGTGCCGTGCAGCTGGATGTCAAGGCCAAGGCCGGGCCCATAGGTGCCGGCTGAATGAGCCGTGTGTTTTTTTTTTTTTCCTTTCGGGACCCTTAGTAAGGCTACGAGTCACGCAAGAAGAATGCGCTATTAAGGCCTTGCCCGATTCAGGCCTTATTCTGGAACTCAGGATTTGGGGGGGGCTTGGGGGGGGGGCATAGCATCCTGTGAACATTTGAGGGGTTCTTGGAGGTGCGTGTGCCATGCAGGATGGTGAAGCCAAGGGGTACAGGTTTGCCGGACGGCAAGTGCAGTATAGTGGAACTGCACCGCCCCTAGCCAATGCCACGAGTGGAGCAAGCATTCCCGCAATCCACCAATGATTTAACATCCAGCCACGCAAAGAACAAGTTCCGGAGCATGTGGCATGGCATCAGCTGTCTGAATTTGCTGGACCTCATTGCTCAAAGTCGGCAGTGTTTCCTTCCGTTCCGACGCCGGTCGGGTCATGACCTGAAGACATCTCTTAAAAGCCGCCCTGCTTTGTTTCCAAGGCGCCCTAGCAATGGCTGTGGCTCAATAACATGGAACCCGAAATGGCACCTTGGTAAATGGAAGCAAGGACCAAAACCTGCGCAACCCGAGTTCTTCTAACTTTGAGCCGAAACATGTCTTCAAGGCGTTCAACCCGGCGTCCGCTTCAAACAGCGCGAGACGTCTACGGGAGAAATCCCTTCTTTTTATCTCGGAGGCGGCTTGGAGACCTCGCGGAACGCCATCGCGCTGAAGTACCTTCGCTCGTGGCTGGTCTTCGATGCAGCACTGGTGATCCTTGACTTGGTCAATGCCACTGGCGAGATGGCAGGCGAGGTTTGGTCGATCAATTGGTCAGATGCGTGGTTGTTTAATTCAGGAAAAATCAGGAAAAACCGTCACATGCAGTCTGTGCTTATAAAGGCCCAATGCATGACCCAATGTTTTTATATGTACATAGATGTACATGTATACAAACAAACCATGTGGTAAGTTGGCACAGCTTGGAGGTTTGACTCAATGCAGTTGGTTCAAGGCAAAGCTCCCTCTCAGCCAGTTGGTTCAAGGCTCAGCCTTCTTGGCAAGGCTACAAGGCTAGATTGTGTTCAAAGCTCCTTGATGTTGGCAAAGAGTCTAGGTTCATCAGATGAGGAAGGCTACATTTGGTGCAGCAGATTTGTTTCCATTGCCCTCTTCTTCTAGGTCCCCCAGTAGTGCCGTTTACCCTTTTTTGGGGGAGGGTGCCCTACTAAAGCAGACTACAGAAAAAAGGGTACCCTTATTCTAACCTCTCGACTGGAGGAACTAGTCTTTGTTCCAAAGCACTTGACCAAATAGCAACGCAGCCTGAAGCCGTGATGCAATCTTCAACAAAGGCGAGGCTTAGCTTGTGATTTGGCTTTACATTCTGGCCCTATCCATTCTACATGCCTCCTCATCTAAGGCGGCAACGGTCATTTCTGAGTGACAGCGATCAACATCAGAAATCAGAGAGAGAGAGAGAGATACTGGATTGTTCGCTCTGTTCGCTTGGTTTAGAACAGCTTTGTGCTGCTGGCTTCCCGCAAAAGACTCCACCAGGTGAATATTTGCGTGTTTCTGTAGGTCGTAGCCAGATTGGTAACATGCTAGCTGCCATGCACAGCGTAGCTGAAGTTTCGAGGCACAGTTGATTGCTTAGCTGTGAGGCGACTTGGGCACGCTGCGCTCACTGCGGGTAGTGCGGGCATTGCGGCTGCTCAGACTTCTCAAGGCACGCAGCAAGTTTGGCATTGGCAAGGTCAGGGATGTCCAGATGCGATCCCGGTCGGCGTGACCCAAATGGGGCAAAGGCAAAGTTCTTGCAGTGGGGCTAGCTGCGGCTTTCCAACGATACTCCTTGCCGGCCGGTTTGGAGGTTTGCGCTGCGGCGGGGATCTTGGGTCATGAGCCAAATGGGTCCCAAGGTGGGCGTTAACAAATGTTGGCTGCGCTTTTCCTGTTCACTCAACATGTAGATGTGCAGGGGGCAAGCTGGTTTCTGTGAGATTGATGTATGCTCAAGAAGTACTTAAAGTACAGATATTGAATATATTAAAATCCAAGCGTGGAACCGGTGGGTTGCTGCATCCACCGGGCACCCTCCTTCCTTGGGTGCCATCATGCTGGACGTCAGTGGATGAGGTGAGCAAGCTCAAGACGATCATCGAAGATATGGTCGCCTCGACAGGCGCGGCCGAGCACCGACGCCTTTGGTAGCTGGCACCTGTGGGAGGGTACCTAGAAGACCATGTTCCCCTTGTAGGGACCTTTGTCAGGTGCCATGTTAGTGGGGGTGAGGGTACCTGATTGGAGTATTTCACGGGCCTCCTTGAAACAAAAGCGTGCCATTCCTTCTGGATGCCAGACTTCTGCCTACAGAGGTGGCAACAAAAAAACTTAGATAGCCAAGAGCCCAAATACGACCTCTGTTTGACTCCGTGCGTTGCTCTGGATGTAGCTCGGGTTTTGCGAGCTCCCACCTAGAGCACGTCGCAGGGCAGCTTGACACGATGGAGTTGTGACCCGGGTGTAGGCTAAGTCAAGGGAAGCCTATGTGTGTATGCTTTGCGATTTAGATAATTACCGTTTGGGTCCAATTGGCATTTGGGTTTTCGTTACGCCGGGTGTACGTCTTGTTTACACCTTTTTGCTTTTTTGGTATGCCATTTGGGTTCTCGGAAGTGGAAGTTCGTGAGTCCCGAGAAGTCGTAAGCAAATCGCAAGTACATCGTAGAAAGAAAACATCATTTCAGCCTGAATCGTCCAGCAACATCGTAATGTTCAAATAATATGCTTCAATGTGTTTTGTTTTTTTTTTGTGCGCTTTCCGGCACCCCCTGCCTTCGGGAGGGAGAAGTGTGCTTTTGTAGGAAGAGGGGGGGCAAATGTTTCAAACAAGCTGTAAATAGCTCATGCGTTTTGCGGAATTCGTAAATGCGAATCGAAGAAAAGAGACGTACTGAGAAGATAAAAGTGTTGAACACGATGCTGGGGATGTTGACGGTGCAGGTGTAAAACAGGTGCATCTTGTTTGCAAATGCTGTAAAATACGTCATGCTAGCGCCTGCCGAAGCTAGGGAAAAAGGGGCCCGCCGAACCGCTGATTCCACACCACATGTTCATTTTATCTCGGATGACTTACGTGCAGAGAAAGGGGGACACAAGGGATCTTCTTGCATTCACAGTACCACATGACTTGCTTGTTCCTGTCGCTCACAAGGGCTTGCACAAGCCTTTGATGCACGCGCACGCCCAGTAGGCGGGAGCGGGCCAGGTCGCCAGTCCATCGTTTTCTTGCTGGCGATCGTCAACACTGGCGCGCCAAGACTGCAATGGATCGCCCCGCGCTTGGAAAGACCCGAAATCGGGGTTGCAAGGATTTGGGCCAGTTGAAAGATCAGCCCGAGTGCCGCTCGAGGATGGATCTCTTTGTAAAGCAGGTAATTTGGGATCAGACGTAGCCTTCGATCGCAGCGCGGAGGTGCTCATTGTGTTCTTATGCCATCTTCTTACCTGCCTCTGGTATGGCATTGGCAGAGCGTCTGCGGAAGAAGGCCTGGGTCCCTGGATCTCATGTCCACTGGAGAACCCTTTCATCCATTTCCACTGGTTTCCCCTCTCAAGTAAAGGAAAAGACGGGAAATTGTGCATACAAAGGGGGGGGGCCTTAGGGTTGGGCAGGGAGGCTGGCTGACAGGGACCCATACAGATGCGCACGCGCTGATTCTTTTGACTGGACCATTGTGGTGTTATAGACATATTTGAGGTTTCTTAGGGCACCCTCTTTGGGCTGTTTCACGGAAGCAGACCAACAATTTGCTCACCGGTGGCATACATCGGTATGTCAGTCATTTTCTGACTTCAGATCCCCTGTCGAGGCCAAATTTCCTGGATTGACATTTCGCAAGCTCAAGATGTACCTGGCTGGCATCAGTACCTGCACTCCTTGCGCTACGCGCCTCGGAAGCGTGATGCCAGGTACCCTTCCCGCATGGATGTGCACAGAACTTCTTTCCAGAAGGAAACAACGGTTATTTTTTGATCAATGGCCTCTCCCCTTGCCCCCCTCAAGGTCTTGGAAAGATTCTCAATCAGATGACGGTAGTCTCCCAAAAGCGCGCCCGCGCACTCCCGCGCTCCCATCTTGATGTTATTGTAGGTGATCAACGCGCCGTCACCGCCACTGGTGGCACCTGACAACAGCCGGGAGCTCGTATTCGACGCGCGGCATGGCAGTCTCTGCCTGAACTTTGTGCATCCAGGGCGGGTGGTTGCGGAAAAGTGGGTTGGATACCGAAAACCATGGTTTTGTTTGAAGTTGGGGACGCCTCTGATTGCTTGGTTTCCTTTTGGTTTTCACAGGTTTCCCTTTAAAACCATGCAAACAGGGGTCGGCCTGGTTGAGACAGACCCACTGCCTCCCAGCCTTATGGCTTCCCTTTGAACTCCCTTCAAAACCGCGACAATCTACCGGATGCAGTCGGGCTATACGACGAGCATCAATCGTTGCGGGATCACTGTGAGATACACTCACCAAATCACAATCTGAACGTAAACAAATCGTGATTCTGCCATGTCATTTGGCGACCTGTGGCTCACAGAGAGGGCATGTGGCAAACATTGCCCCTTCCAGTTGGCACAGGAGCATGGATGCCAACACATTTGCTTCATGTTCTTTTACTTTTTGTTTGAGCCTTGAATGGATTTCCGTTCCAAGTTCCCTCATTTGCTAAATGGATTCGGTGTCTCAGGATATTTGCACCAACGTGCTGTGCCTCATCGTGCTGGGCTCCGCAGTGTCCAAGATCTCCCAGGCCCTCGCAGACATGCGCGCCACCAACGAAGAGCATGACCGCCAGAGGAGGGAGGTCCGATTGCACCTGCGGCGCAAGCAGAAACAAAGAAAGAACATGTTCGCAGATGGCCCTGCAGCTCTCTCAAGGGGGGCTTAGGGGGGGAGGGGGGGTGGGGAGGGGGCTTCCAAACAAGCCCTTATTACGCCCTGAGTAATTCTTATTTGGCCCTCCCCCAGCCTCAACTCCGTGGCCGAGGGCTTTGGCTTCGCAGAGATATGCCAGACGTACTTCTCCAGGATGCGAGACGGTCGTTTGGTGTGAAGTATCCAGTCACAGCATCAGGAGTACACAGACGCCAAAGTCTGGAAGCTAGAGGCTGGCTTGCCTAGGATGCTCTCCAGGTATTGCAGGTGGGCTCGCTATGTTTTCAGTTGATGGCCAATGTGACTGCACTGCCCTTTTCGCGATCAGGCGCAAACTCACACTGGTCCTCACAAGCCTCAGGTACTTGACGAACCAGAATGCGCCTTTTGAGCTCGTGACACGCATCATGAAGTTTGTTGACTACAGGCTGGACAAGACGCTGGGCAGGGGATGGGACAAGCTGTTTAATTGTTTAGGAATGCACTCGCCGCTTGTTCTCTAGAACAGATGGCTGGCATCCCCAAAACGAAGTTCTCCCAAAGTTCTTATGTAGTTTTCTTGGATTTCCTTGATCTCTTCGTGGCAATTGGTGCGCTGAGGATGACCTTGGCCAGCTTCGACGGCACTTTGATCTCAAACAGCCTGCGGGCGGAGCTCTTTGTGAACCAGAGCCTTGGTTTGGTCAGATATCCATGAAGAAGAAGAAAGCAGCCCCCCACAGCCGCCCCCAGAGAAGTTCAGGGAAATTCCCGCAAAATGAGAGGAAGCCAGCGAGGGGTTGCTTGGAGGGCCCATCCATCCTCCGGATCCGGAGGCTCCAAGTGACCGGCTTTAACTGGTGCCTCCGAAAGGGGAAGCCCGGACTTTTGGGCGGCTGACATGACT